AGTACTGAACAAGTTAATGATGGAACATGAAGAGCCATGTGCTGAAATCCATTTTTTTTTAAACACCGAGCTCATTTGTCAACATTTTTATTAAGAGGAAAATAGGAATTTGCTTATAAAAGTGGCTTAGCATTGTACTCTGCTCCTTGTAAACAGACAAGGAGCCTCTTTTCTCATGCAGCCTTTGCTGAATCCCTTAGACACAATGGTGAGGGTTAGTGTAAATGGATTTAGCTGCATTGGATGCTTGACAACCAGGGTTAATTTTAACTCTATAACGTAGATGTTGTTGCCATCAATGACTCCATATTGACTTCAACTACATGGTCTATATGTTCCAGTATAATTCCACTAATGGCAAGTTCAATGTCACTGTCAATACTGAGAATGGGAAGCTGGTCATCAGTAGGAATGCCATCACTATCTACCAGGAGCAAGATTCTGCCAACATTAAGTGGGGTGATGCTAGTATTGAGTATGTTGTGGGGTCTACTGATGTCTTCCTAGCCTTGGAGAAGGCTCACTTGAAGGGTGTTGCGAAACAGATAATCATTTCCGCTTCTTCTGCCTATGTTCCCATGTTTGTAATGGGCATGAATGATGAGAAGTATGAGAATTTGTTCAAAATTGTCAGCAATATCTCCCGCACCACTAACTGTTTGGTCCTCCTATGACAATTTTGGCATTATAGAGGAACTCATGACCACAGTCCATGCCATCACTTCCACCCATAGGACTGTGGATGGCCCCTCTCGATAGCTGTATCATGATGTCTGTAGCACAGCCCAGAACATCATCTCTGCGTCTACTGGTGCTGCTAAGGCTGTGGGCAAGGTCATCCCTGAGCTGACTGGGAAACTTATTGGCATAGCTTTACATGTCCCCATTCTCAATATGTCAGTTGTGGATCTGACCTGCCATCTGGAGAAAGTTTCAAAGTATGATGACATCAAGAAAGTAGTAAAGCAGGCATCAGAAGAGCCCCTACTAGGAATCCTGGGATACACTGAAGACCAGTTTTCTCCTGTGATTTTAAGTGAGACCCGCTCTTCCACCTTTGATGCTGGGGCTGGAATTACCCTGAATGACCACTTTGTTAAGCTAGTTTCCTGGCATGACACTGACTTTGGCTACAGCAAACTGGTGCTCGACCTGATGGTTCACATGGCCTCCAAAGAATAAGAGCCTCTTGGACCACCAGCCCCAGCAATAGCACAAGGGGGGAGAGAGAGAGAGAGAGAGAGAGAGAAGAGAGAGAGAGAGAGAGAGAGAGAGAGAGAGAGAGAGGAGAGAGGAGAGAGGAGAGAGAGAGGAGAGAGGAGAGAGGAGAGAGGAGAGAGGAGAGAAGAGAGAAGAGAGAAAGAAAAGGAAAGGAAAGGAAAGGGAGAAGGAAAAAAGAGGAAGGGGGAAGGGGAAAGGGGGAAGGGAGGGAGAAGGGAGAAGGAAGGAGAGAGAGACCATCAGCTATCAGCTGCTGGGGAGTCCTTTTCCCAACTTGATCTCCCACACACATTGAGAATCTTACATCCTTGACACAGTTTCCCTCCAGTCCCTCCAAGAAAGAGTGAAGAGCTTAGAGAGCCCATCTCATGATGTACCATCAATAAAGTACACTACTCAGAAAGAAAAGTGGCTTATAATATAAAAAAACACACACACACACACACACACAAAACCTTTATATATGTTGTTTGCATTGATTATTGTTGTGTTGTTAAGTGCCGTCGAGTCGCAGGCGACTCATAGCGACCCTATGAAGGAGAGTCCTCGACGCTTACGTACCTTTCATCCTCTCTCCAGGTTCATAGGGTTTCCGGAGACAAGCTATTATGATAGTGGATGCCACTCCTCCTTCCAAGCTTGTTTTAATCGGGGAGCTTTCATTTATTATTACTCAGTAATGATAATCAGTTTCTTGATGTTTACTCAGTAAATTTTGACTCATAATGAGCCCATGTGACAAAGTTATAACCATAGAAGGTTCTTGGCTATTTCTATGACTATTATTTCAGACCAGACCTTATTTTCTTATACCTTTATTCTCCAATAGTCTCCTAACTCCTTCATTCTTTCCATTTTACACATTCCTTCCAGATATATTGTTCAAAACATAACATCAGTCATTTCATAATTTTTTTATTGATACTCTACTACAACTACTCAAATAGCCATACTCTCATTTACAGACTCATCCTATTAACAGAACTAATTTTCCATCTATCTACTGAATCTCCCTTACATTCATTTTCACTTCAACCAAATAAAATTTGCTGAGCACACCATACACTTTTCCTCATTTTCCAGTACTGTAATTTTTGCACCACTGATCCTTCTCTCTCAACTGCTATAAGTAGATGTAAAGTTCAAGACATCAGGTTCAGCACCTTAAGTCATCTTTTAATGCTATGAATAGTCTACTGTAAAAAATGGTATAGATAATATTGTTGTTTAAACAAAACTGATTTGAAATTTCCAAATTACATTGAAGTTTTCTGTTATATTCAAAGTTTGATCTCTAGTAAGTGGAAAAAATTAGAACTAGAAACAATGTCAGCTACATTTCAACCCAGAGGTATATGCATTTCCTCACACTGCTTCTCTTTGTTTAGTCCTTTGAATATTCGTCAGAGCTGATCAAAGGATGTGAGAAAGGGTATGTGTGAGGTATGGGAGGGAACATAAAATCAGTACTCTAAGTGTGAGAAAAGACCACATTGAATCAAGAGGAGTCAGAATTTTCATCTTAGAGGGTCCAACCTCGCAAAGCACATATTGTTTCTATTGTTGTCTGTACCAAATGTTGCAGGTTTTGAGTCAAATAACTTGCTATTGAGAGCTATCACAAGCCTCTGTTCCATTATCTATGTTGTTATGTGCCTTGAGTTACCTGCAATTCATAGCAACCCTAAATTATCTCTGCACCTCGCCTTATCCTAAGCCCATCTTATCATCTCAGATAGATATAATTCCATTTCTCCAGTCACCAAGTCAATCCATCTCATCCTGCGTCTTTCTCTCCTGTGTTGTCCCTATACCCTTCCAGATATGTTGTCCCTTTTCCAAGGACCGATCCACTCAAGAGAGTTGTGAAACCCAGTGAAATAAGTAATTTCAAATACTTAGAGGAGGCTTGGTGGTAATGAGTGCTCAGTGAACAGTAACTGAAAGCAAGATCGCTGTATCCTCCCCTTAAGATTCATAGTTTCTAAAGTATTGGAAGATCACTAAGAGTTAGGATTCACTTCATAGCAGTGGGTACAGGATTCTTAATAGCATCACCACCACTGGTCTCTTAAACAATCTTTCGCTAATGAAGTAAAGAAGCTCTTGAAATCCTTTCATAATGGAGAGAAATATGTTAAAATATAGTTACTTAATTTAGGGATTGTTAATAAATAATAACAAAAGTAGCTTAAAGGGGACTTGGATGCCAATAACTTTGTAGAATAAAGTAAAATATAATATAGTCTGTAAGGAAAGATTAAATATACTGATATTATTCTTTTAAAAGAGGAATTTGTTGAAATATTTAATATTTGGGTTTTGAGATACTTCTAATTCACACAAAAGAAATAGATATTGGCTAGTTTTATTTTAAACAAGTATATTAACTCCCCTAGTGGATTAAATGTTCATATGATAGAGAGTAAGACAAAATAAATGTCCCTCTGCCATATAAAAGCAGACTATCAAGAAAGTTATTACGTTATTGGAAGATATATTTTTAGCTGATATAGCTGAGATACTGTCAATATGACAAAATTATCCTTAACAGGATGTAGGAAGCTTACACTATTTTCTCCTTCTACTAGCAACATGAAGATCCATGAGGCTACCAAGGCCTCTTATGATAGCCTTATTCTTATTTCACACTGAGTTAATCCCTATAAACATGTGTATTATAAATCCTAAGCTTTATGCCTGCTATCATAATTCTATTTGGGAATTGTTTACCTGCATTACATTAATGAGGAAAGATTAACTTCAGTGTATTTCTCCCCTAAAGAAACCATAACTGCCACCCAGGCAGATAATATGTACACCCATGTTTATTGTGGCTTTGTTCACAACAGCAAAGAGTTGGAAACAACCTAAGTGCCCATCAACAAACGAATGGATAGAGAAGCTGTGGTATATTCGCACAATGGAATACTATGCTGCATTGAAAAACAAGGAACTCATGCAATATTATTTAAAATGGGTGATCCTGGAGGACATTATGCAGAGTGAAATATCTCAGTCACAAAAGAACAAACACTGCATAGTGTCACTGTTGTAGAATGGTACTGACATCAGGGTTGGGTTGAGACTGAGGAAAAAAATGCATAAATTATGTATACGGCATTGAAGCAGATGAGGGAGAGAACAGTTTAAAAGCTATATATGCTTGGGTACTATGGTTATGACAAGAGTCCAGAATGAAGGTTGCATAGTGGAGTATACTTGGGGGTGGGGAATTGTATACCAATAAAGGAATTTTTCTTTTACTTTTCAATGAGAAGAGCGAACTGGGAGGTGGAGAGGTGGGCAGGGAGAAAAATGCAGCAGTGAATGAATGTAAATCCCAAATCTCTGTAAATGTTCATTAAAATTAATAAAATAAATGTAAAAAAAAAAGAGCGAACTGGGAGGAAGGGTGGGTGAGAGAAAAATGCAGCAATGAATGAATAGAAATCTAAAATCCCTGTAAATGTTCATTAAAATTAATAAAATAACAAAATAATATTTCTTAAGTCAATCCCTTATGTGATATAAAAACAAATTAAACAAAAGAGCAAAGGAAATATGGGGTAAGATAGATGTGCAGATAAATGCAGATCCCCATGAAACCAAAAAGCAAAAGCTAAAGACACGTAGATTTTTATCCAAAGCTGACAGAGGGAGAAAGCTTTCCTCTAGGATCAATATGTGAACACAGACTTCAGCCTCCTAGAATGTGAGAAAATAGTATTTGTGGGATTTCCATTAGCAGCATTTAATAACTAAGACAAGTTTCTTACCTGAGCTCTCATCCAAGCTCTCCTCTGAGACGTGCTCATTCTGATGGACCCACTCTCCATTGCATTTGAAGAATATCTGCATGGCTGGCCTTGCCTTGCACCTCAGGGCAATGGGATTGCTCTTAATTATATAAGCATCATCTGGCTCTTCTATGAAATGAGGCAATGTACCAGGAGCTGATGGGATGGAATCAGGAAGGACTTCGCCATTGTCAGCTCCTGCAGAATTGAAGGGGACATCAAAGCATCAGAACACAGTCTATACTGAAAATATATAAAGCAGAAGACAAAGCTGAACACACAGCTCTAAAAATCTATGTGGGGGAAACTTTCATTATCATAACGGTATAGCATGTTTCTAAGACCTGGCTAAATGAATTATCTTCTAAATGCTTAATTAGTATTACTTCTTTTGCAAACACCTCTAGTTAAAAAGCAAAAATATTACTTCCTGGACTAAGGTATGACTAACCAAAGACTTAGTACTGTCAGTCATTTCGTATACATGTGAAAGTTTGACAGTGAATAATAAAGACTGAGGAGCAACTGATAATATATTTGAATTATGGCATTGGAGATGGAATAAGCAACATATTGTCGGGAGAATGAACAAGTCTGTTTGCAAGAACTGCCAGAATGATTCTTTCAATAAAAACTTTGTCTTACATATTTTGGGCATGTTATGAGGAGGTGAGGAACTGGTCCATGGAAGAAGACATGCTTAATAAAGTTGAAGCTCAGAAGAAAAGAAGATCTCTAACAAGATGAATTGACACAGGGACTATATCAATAAGCTGAAACATTTCGGTGTTTGTGAGAACGTGCAAGGTTTGGCAGTGTTTCATTGTGTCATATGTAAGTTAGCTCCCAGTCAGACAAGATTCAATGGCACCGAATGACAATAATCACAACTAGATATTTCTCTCTGTTATTACTGGAGAAGTAGAAATAGTAAACATTCAAACTGCAGTTTTTAATATATTTGCTGCTGATCAACCTAAGAGTGAAAGGTAAATTCTCAAGATGCACTCTAGCTAAAGTATTCACTGAAAGGTTTGGACTGCTTTGAAACTTGGAAATTTGGTGAGAATAGTTTATTATCCCATAAATATGTGTGCATAATGGTGGTATTTTTAATTTATAAGAAATTCCATAATATTCCAAGTAATTTTCCCTTTTCTTTTTTAGGGACTATCCGGCATTCTTCCTTGCGTAAACTTTTTCTGATATCTCACCAACTTAATATTCCTTTAACAAAATGTGAGGGTTTTTCCCAGAAACTTTGACAGTGATTCTCCTTCATTCTCTAAAAACTACTTGTTCTTTGTATATTATGTATTATATTATTAAAGCTGAAAATGAAATAAAATTACTAAATTAAATATAAGCTTATCACACTTATTCAAAGGGAAGCAAAGGCATGGTTCTTCGTTAACATTCAGGAACTGATGAAAAGGAAAAAGCAAAAGAAAAAGGAAGAGAGGAGAGAGTAAGACTTGATTTTCTATGTCTTCACTACATTTGACATCTTCACTACATTATACAAAAGCACAAGGCCCCCAAACCAAAGAATGTTAAGGAATGACTCCCGAGCTATATGTAGATGATCAAGATAAATCATATCATACACTGTTCAATGACCACTCCAACAAAAGAACAAGGAAAAACAAGAGTCTCAATACCAATATCAACAACATTTTCAGAATTATTATTTTTAATTAGGCCAAAACAGTCTTTAGCCTTAAACCAGGAAAAAGCAAGTTCCTAGATGGTAAAACTATTCAGTTTGATTGATTGTGAACCTAATGTTGGACATACAAGTTTACCCAGAAGTTTCATTGAAAAAGTCCTGGAAATCTACTTCAGAAAAAGAATTTTAAAACCCTGTGGTATATGATTGTACTCCAATCCACACAGGTTTATCACAAGTTCCAAATGACTTGATGACAACTGATTTGCTAGTATGGAGAGGAAACTAATGTTCATCAGGTTATAGTTTTCAGGAGAAAACCTCAGAGTGCAGTGTATCCTTTCATTTCACCTGGTTTTCCAGTTCTGAACAACTACACCTTCATATTTATTATTCGTGTTTGAGTTAAAATACAAAGTACTGTCAAAGATAAACATACAGTATAATACCAAAAAAAAAAAAGAAAGAAAGAAAATGAAAACTTCTGTTGAATGGATTCTGATTCATGGTGACCTTCCATCAGGTTTTTGAGGCTGTAAATATTATGGGAACAGACAGCTTCATCGTTTTACTATAGAATGGGTGATGAATTGGAAGTGACATCCTATCAATTAATAACTTCATATGTAACACACAATGACAGCGTATTTCTTATTAAGAGTATTTAGGAGAAATTCTAAAATAATAAACAAAGTAAAACAAGAATAGGATTCCAAGAAGTATGACTTCCTGTAATTCTTTTTGGTGAGAAACAAAAGACGTTGTTATGGAAAAGACCTCTTGCCACTGGGAACACAAAAACCATGTGTGAAATAGGAATTAATTATGTATAACAATAGCTTGAGTCTCCTAAATACTATTTTTTCCATGAAATATATCAAATTGAAAATAAAAAAATAAAAGCACCACATAACAAAGATTTAAGAGCCTATAAGTGTTATAATGGATTTGTGATAGAAAAGCTAAATCAAGTACAAGTAATTCAACATACAAAAAAAATCATAATAAAATAAGTAAAATAAATGGTATGAGAGTAAACAGTTTATATCATAAAAGAACAACAGAGTCACTTGGAAAATAAAACATGTAATCTAACATGAAGTAAGAGGAGTTTCAGGAAAAAACTTATATTTTTCAATATTTTAAATCATATTTACAACAGACTTAATAAAAAATATTATATATTCATTCATTCCGTTACTGACAACTCATACCTTTTCCATCCTCAATAAATATCGAGTCCCCACAGGCTTCCATAAATCCATGCATTAGAGGAAATGACAAAGGTATTAAAAGATTTTATATGGGCATCAAAAGCTCACTATCCCATCAGGGGCTTGCATTCTGTCCAAAGTAATTCATTGTTGTTTAAGAGGGTCAACTGATAAAGCATACAAACACAGGCATACTATGGAGTTTCCTGAATCACATTTTTTGAATGCTAAATGGCTATTTTTTTAATAGTAAGGATGCATATAGAGGTATGTTAAAGTGTGTGTGGTGGGGGGGTGGAGATTATGAAAAAAGGTTTTCTAAGTAAATAGAGAAAACAAATTAATCAACAAAAGGAAATGTCAAATAAACAAATCAAGACACTACTACATCATTAGATAAATCATGTTTTAACCATTCAACTCACAAAACAGGGAGTGAGATCTAATAGCAATTAGGTTATCCTCTTGTCATTTTAATAAAGGCCTTTAAAGTAACAAATAAAAGCCTGATGGGAAATAGGAGAAGAGTGAAATAGTTAATCTGAGGGTAATAAGTTTGCTGGCTGTCTTACAGACTGTTATTAAGAAACAATCAATCACAGAATGGTCATATATCTTTATTAATAATAAAAAATATTTTGCTATGTAAAAATCAGATATGTATAAAAAGGAGTGACAAAAAGAAGGTGAAAAAAATTAAATATGCATTTATATATGTATCACCATTGTTTTACATTCTCCCAGCAAACCAATGAGAGAAGTAAGGATATATTTCATTCATTATTTATTTTCAGCTTTATATGGAGAAGTGCTGAGAATGGTGTTTACCTAATTCCCCTGTCCAGTTTCTTTCCTGACCTACACTTTAACTCTTGGCTATCACTCTTCTATCATTTTTCTGCTGCTTTTATGACTTGCTTTTTCTTAAACTGCCAGAAGCTGTGCAGCCAGTATTTACAATACCAGCACGGTTACCCATGATAGACAGATTTCAACAGAGCATACAGACTAAGGTAGCATAAGAGACAAGCTTGGAGATAGACTCCTGATAATTGTTGTTGTTGTTGTTGTTATTTGCCATTGAGTCGCTTGCGACTCATAGCGACCCTATGTACAAGAGCTCTAAATGCTGTTCTATCCTGTGCCAACCTAGCCATCTCAAACGCACTTATTCCCACCGCTCCAGTCACAGAATCGATCCATCTCACCAAAGTTCTTCCTCTCCTTCGCTTCCCCTCCACTCTGCCAAACATGATGTCCGTCTCCAAGGACCAGTCCCTCCTTGCAACATGCCCAAAATATGTCAGACGAAGCTTCAGAATCCTTGACTCCAGGGAACACTCTGGCTTCACGCTCTCCAGGACAAACCTGTTTGTTCTCCTAGCAGTCCATGTATATTCAAAATTCTTCTCCAGCACCACAGCTCAAAGGCATCAATCCTCTTTCTATCAGCCCTATTCACTGTCCAACTCTCTGATGCATAGCACATAACTGCAAAGACTATAGCCCGGATCAGGTGCACCTTAGTCTCCAGCCTGACATCGTTGCTCTTCAGTACTCTTGAGAGGTCCCTCACAGCTGACTTTCCCAATGCAATTCGTCTCCTGATTTCCTGGCTGCTGTTACCAAGAGCCTTGACTGTGGAGCCAAGTAAATTAAAACTGTTAACTATCTCAATCTCCTCACCATCCATGCTGATGCTACCAATTGGCCGAGTGGTTAGAATCTTTGTTTTCTTGACATTTAGCTTCAAGGAATTGGAGATCCTGTGGATCTCAAAATAACCCTATAACCCTGCCCTATATAGTGTGGAAAGATGGGCAGCCTAGGTTGGAACTTGGTAGTACTTAACAGCCTTAAAAGCGAATTCAGTATACCAATAATCATGAACTTGGTACACGGCCAGACAATGTTTCACTATGTTGAATCTGAGGTTGCCAGAGTCAAAGTAGCCTTGCTTGGTTGATGGCTCCCTCAACATAGAACCTGGTTTAATCTCCATGAGAAAGCTCTCTTCATCTCATCTCATCTCATCACCTCTTCAACTCTCTCCAAAGAAGATAAATGTGATGCTGGGACTTATCTGACAGTTTTGTATGGAAGGGTCCTGGAATTTCCCAAGGAATTTCCTAAGGAAGAGAAAGGGAAAGGAGTTGGAAGAAAAGAAAGGGGTGTTCAACACAACTCATTGATGTAAAGTCAGAATAGATTCATGGATGACTCTCAAATGAGTTTTCAGGGGCTGTAAGTAGCACAAGAAAAGATTGCCCATATTGCTCCCACAGACCCACTGATGATTTCAAATGATCAGAGAGGCACCACTTTTGGGTAACATCACAC